CTAACTAATTACACACATAAATCCGCAAAGCGAAGTCAGCTCTCGACACACCACACTCTAGGACCACGGACGTCCGACACGAGTACCTTTGGTGTCGTCCTAATCTCCGACACCACGATAGATAACATACCACATATATTTAGGGGTGGGTGGGCCAACATAAACTGGAAGACGGAGACGGAGGAACGACCAGCCCGGCGAGTTTCGCCAGTCCAGGAGTGTCGCTGACACCGGAAATCTTTTGGGACATTTGTGCTTAAAAAAAAACTCTATTAAAGGAAACCCAAATTGGTGAAAATTATTATCGTCTGGTCGACTTTTATGACTTTTACCTGTCTCCTGTTTCCCCCTCTATAACTCTCCTACGTACCATCGGTTTCAAGGCGTCCAGTCTAAGTTTAGACTCGACGCCGCCGGTCCCTGTTTCCGGAAATCCGGTTTTTGGAAAGGTCCACTCGTGACGCACCGTGGGTTCCAATTATGTAATAACAACTGGAAGAGGCAGGCCTGGGGTTGTTACATGTTTAAATTAATACAACGTTTTGACGTATTTCTTCCGTACCAAATAACTTTTCTTCAGATATCAGACCGACTAAGTTCCTCTCTCTCTTTGTAATCGAATTCACCGTTGTTGTTCATCGACTAGAGGAGTTTTGTTTTCACAACATTATTGTTTTCGTCATTTATAGTTGATCAAACGTATAAAGATTTTTACGTCTTTCTATTTCGAATGGTTACCCGTACGGGTCCGAAGAACGCAGATTGGTAATGGAAGATCACTTTTCAAATTACTTGAAAGGCTACGGTATTTCCCGCTATGTCTACGTAGGGGGGAGGGGACAACACAGGGCACCAGGTGAACACAATCAACCACAATTAAGCTATACAACCCGTAACGGAGGCCGAGATCTATGGGCCCAGAGATCACCTCCGTGACAAGTCGCGCTAAGAAGCCGTACGTCAGGAAGAAGGACATTATATTATTGTTGTGTAAATATGGGGGTAAGGGTCAAACTTTCACAGACTGTTTACTAAAAAGCCTTTGCACATCAAAAAAGAGAAATCGTTTTATAAATAATAAAAAAAGAGCTTTAAAAGAGAACCTCAATCCCTGTTTTCCTTTTGGATTGGATTTCATTTCTACATGTGGCCTAATTTGAGAGGGGTAGCTCAGTTTGAACCAAACAAGAGTTATCATCAACACTGCAGTCCCCCTCAGCTCCACTGAGGGTTTAAGCCTCTTTCAGCTCATTGTTTTGGTTTTGGTCCATGGTCCGCACTTTACAGCTTCCCTAAACATTGTTTGAAGATGCTGCAGGCAACTTTTTAGTGTAGAATCTCATAAAACACTTGTTTGTCCAGCACCAGGCTGAAAAGTGAACAACTACCTGGTGAAAACAGTACAGCATTCAGAAGCCGTAGAACCAGATATGTTTCTCCGGAGCTGGTGGAGACCAAAATCAAGCTAAATGGGGATTGAATTTTGGCCACAGGAAACACAACTCCAAATGATGCCTTGAGTCTACTGTATGTGTACATAAACTGTAACTATTTGATTTTTTTAATTGTGTAAATGTTATGTTTAGCTTGTACTTGCCGAATTGGAATAGTAACAATTGCATAGGTTCCAGTATAGGATCTGAATTATTCTGTCATAAGCACTCCAGGGAGGCATAAACATGATTACTTGGTAGTCTACACAGTCGAATCTGGAGTGATAATTTAACACTCATAGATAAGGACCATCTAGAAAATATTCTACGGATAGGCCTACTTATTGCTCTAAACCAAAATAGAGCAATAATTAACACTTAAAGGGAGGGATTAACACTCTTTAAGTGTTAAATTAACACTTAAAGAGTTAATTTGAACACTGAGCCAGTGAACATAATGGTCCTTATCTATGAGTGTTAAATTAACTCTCCAGATTTGACTGTGTACCTGTGCATGTGTCTTCTGTGTACATTGCTGTGTTTGTCCTCGGCCTCTTGCAGGGGGCGGTCATGTAGACTTTGATGATTTCTGCGAGTTAATGGGGCCAAGGATGCTGGCTGAGACTGCTCATATGGTCGGGCTGAAGGAGCTCCGCTGCGCCTTCAAACAAGTAAGAGGTCCCCAGCCAGGGACTCAAAAGAAGTCTGATTTCAAGCAGGGTACTGTGACATACTTTGAAGTGTGCAACATGACCTTTCCTTAGAGAGTACCAAAACATACGGCTCTTACGGGTAAACAAGTGAGAGGGGGAGAGTGTTAGTGAGCCATTAATTAATGCAGAAGTTAAACATTTTGAGGAAGGAAAATATTACAAAATGATGATGTTTTTATAAAGTCTGGATCCTGCCACATACATTGCCACCCTTTATATTCTACACTTGTTTGACTCACCTGTTAATTTGTGGATCAGTAACCTTGAGGAACTATTGAGTTCCTCTCTTTGACGTGAATGCAGTGGTATTACTTACATGTTGAATTGATGACGTAGCCGCCGACCAAGCTAAACAAATGAGATGATTGTGTTTTTTTATTAAAGCTTCACACAAGTGGGTTTTTCATTTAGCGCATTATAGCCGTTTTTAATGATAACTGCTAAACAGACAAAGGTTATAATGTGCTCCTAATGATTATAACTGAAAACATATTATAGAGTAATTATGGTACTGGGAGTAAATTATGTATATTATTAGTCCTGGGCTTTTTAGTATATGACTAAATTCTGGCTCTTAACAAAAGAATAGGGTAAATTATCAGCTGCCATCAATATTATAATTAAAAAGTATATTTATGGAACTATTATAATTTGTGTCAATTATATAACACACCTTTTACTGACCTTGATCATTGAGCTTTGTGACAATATTTCTTTCTCAAAAATCTTGAAGTCTTGCCATCAAAACCTGATGGCAAGACACCTTCAGCAACATTCATCTGCGTGCGTATGAGAAGAAGAAATGTGCCCTCTATTTTGAGAAGGCAACGCTACATATTCATCTGCTATTATATCTGGAGTTAATTCATCACAAGTGCGTCATCACCAAGGTCCTGAGTAGCGCTGTTTAAAGCTTACACAATCACATGTTCTGATGAGTCGTTCAATTTGTGGGATATAATACAGTAGCTCTCAACTGCCACATCAGAGTATAGTTTATTCCGTGACAAAAAGGAATACATTGTCAACTCTTACCAACTCAGCCCTCACTTTAAAAGTGTTTCTCACTCTAGCACTAACACCTCATGAGTCAGCGTTGTCCCATCTGCACACTCTAGCTGTTTTCAGACTTCCAGGGACCTCATGCTGCCTTCTTGTGACTACACTCTGCATAAAATCATCTTGAAATATGTGTATCTCTTTTGATAACTCTCCTCACTCTGTCTGTCTTCTCCTCCCCTATGCATTACATCATACTGTGATCAATCCCCACCCTCCTCATTAGCTCAGAAACAAGTAATGTTCCTATCTAATCCTTGTGCCATCTCTGATCCTCTTCATGTGAGTGTTTGTCTCTCCTCATGCACATGTCCCCACCTCCTTGCTCTCCACTCACCGAACATGTTGTAGTTTGATTGTGATGGGGATGGAAAGATCACACATGATGAGCTGAAGGAGGGCATGAAGAACCTCCTGGGGGAGAAGTTAAAGAAAGGCGAACTGGAGGAGATCCTCAGCGACATTGACCTCAACAAAGATGGCAGCATTGACTTTGATGGTGAGCGGTTGGGGACTCGGGGGAGAGTTGGAGGGAAACAATTAGACCCTAGGCAAGGTGTGAGAGGACATTAAAACAATTATTAAACACGGTGATAAAACACTGTGACAAGGGGATGGTTGATACATAATACAGTGATTATCAACCAAGGGTACTTGTGCAGTTGCCAGAGGATGCGATTTACTGCAACTACTGTTTAGTTTAATGAAACAAAACGACTTGGGTAGGTTGAGATGCAGAAGATTATAACATAATCGTAGTTTATTATCAATTCATCACACATTTGGAATGTGATGGACATAGTGTTTATAAAGAAAATACTTGAGGTAATCTGACCTGACGGGAGCACGAGTAAATCAGACAAAAAAGGTCTGTAACTGCTGGTGTTCATGGGGCAAGAGCGGACTAGGAAGGACAAAGCAGAGGAGTAAATGAACATTGTTGGATTGGTTTGAGGATGAAGGTGACAGACGAGAAAATGTGTTACAAATTAGGCGGGAAAATGCTGAGATGGGAAAGCAGGGATGGTTAAATCAAGGTGGGTTAGCTGGAGGGGCCAATCCAATCTAATCAGGAGTGCATTAATACAATCAATACACATGCCTGGACAACTGTCACATATCATAAAGAGAACACACACTTGGGCAGTTCAAGGACTTTGCAAACATGTCATTACCATATTGTACCTCCCAAGCAAATAAACAAAGCACTGGGACACATTCACACACACACATAGGCACACATTTACGTCAGCACCACATGCACGTCGGTGAGATTATAGGCTGCAGCACACTGGGGGCTTAGAGGTGTGATCCTGTTTGTCTTGTCTCAGCAACCCAATCAACTACAATTATTGGGAACATATGAAAAGGCGTGTCAGTCCCTGAAGGGATCAATAAGCAGGTGCAGCTCATTATCATCAATTAGCCCCTGGGGCAGCGTTGGGGTGTGTCTGTCCAGCTCAACCACATGGGCAGAAAAACCAGCTTCCACAGCCTCCGAGAGAAGACCCTCTCAGTATCCAGACGGCAGGTCGAACTGAAGTGTTAGGAGCTGCTGTTCCGCTCACTTCACTTATTTTTTACAGAAAATGGTTAGAGGAGCACCTCAAGAGATAAAGCTAGTGGGTTAATCTGGAATTAGGCTTTAGTACTCTGTCAATCAATAGATTCACACCTATAACCAGACGTCTTTCAGAGCAAAGCACTTCAGGGTCACAATGGGAAATGGAAGTCATGATTGACTGGATTGATTTAGCGACCCCAGCCTCAAGCTTGGTTACATTGACAGGACATGGCTATCCTGATTGACACGTTAATCTATAATAGTGAAAAAAGTGGTAAGAAAACTGATCACTGATTACATGAATAGATTTTGAGAGCCTTGAAACTGGCAGTGTTGGAGTTGTCATCCTTTAAATCCAGACTTGTGATTGAAATCTCCCAAGAAAACCAGTCTAATATTAAAAAAAGAGTCATATTTAACTCCCTTATTTTGGTATTAGTCCGTCACTGCATCTATTTCCCATTTACTAATTTCATTACATCACAACATGTGCTGTGTTAGTTTCCGATACATTGGCTAAAAATAATGTGGCTGCATCTCAAGCTCTCTTTTTATGATGTTAGAGTGTCATTAGTCCTTATCTGTGGATCTGCTGTCTCTGTCTCCCTCTGCAGAGTTTGTTATGATGCTTTCTGCACGATGACCCCTGATGGAAGAAGATGGAGGCGTTGGTTCACAAGTACCAACTCTTCCTGCTGTTGCAATGTGTTCCTGTGACATTTCAAGTGTATGCTCGTACAAAAATGTAATTGAGTAAAATAAAACTTATTTTCATTAATGTTGAGTTTGAGTAAGTACAAGAGGGTAAAGGGGAGTTATGAAACATTTGTAACTGTTATGCTGCACTGTCGCCCCCTTGTGGTTAGAACGTGTCCATGCTCTAAGAGCTTTTAAATGAATGTGCATTAACTTTCTATACCCACTGATAACATTTTAACTTTCGTTTCTTTAAGGACTTTAGTATATTTAATAGTTGTAGTTATGTTTTCCTCTTCCTTTCGGACTGGTTTTGAAGGGGAGGGGCTTTGTTGAAATCATAAAATACAATAATGCAATCAGAGTGACAATTTTGATAGTAGTGGACAGTTTGGTTAAGGTCAATCAAATCTAATAAACCCACCCCAAACCGTCTAGTTAAGAGTTGAAACTTGTGATAAATAAAGTTTTTTTTAAATGTAGTCATGAATATTTAATGTTATCGAGAAATAAATGCTTTGAAATATTTTTGGGGCTTTTTAAGTGAGGTCCTTGCTTTGAAGTACATCTCCAGTTGTGCAGATAGCTACAGGTCTTCTATTAAAGGGGTCAAACAGTGAACACCGAGGCTGAAAAAGATGTGCATTTATTATGGAAAAATTATAACTTAAACATCTGACCAAAAAGCCTTTTTTATTTTAACAGGTGTCTTATCCATACAACAGCCTTGAATCTTGTGTCTTTAGGATTTGGAATACACAATGTGAACAAATGGTTCCACTGGAAAAAAATGAAAACATACTTCACCCTATGGCTAAAAAAGCAATGGTGACCAAGTCAATGCGTTGTGTTGTTAAAAATCACAATACCAAAATGGTGTAAGGCAATCGCAGCACTGACTGAAGCACCGCAGCTCCTCCTCCCTCCATTTGGACAGAGCAGCTCTCAATGACGGGTCATCTAACCTTATGTTGTATCCATGTTGTCCGGTTTCGATTTGCTATAATATTGCAAGAACCCCTTCAGATATTCTTCTTCACATTAGAATGTACAAATATATTCCTACTTATAAATTAATTCAATTTAAATTAATGAAACGGGTGTCTGAACTTTTTTGTTTAGAAGATTGACGATTTATAGAAAGAACCACTGAATCTTATACATGATATCATCCAACTCAACCACGTTATCCAAATGTGCATAACAAATCAACATTTTCAAAGATAGTGCGTACGATTTAGGGTAACTGTGAGGAGAAGAAAAGCATTAAAAGAAAGCATAGGATACAGATTACATTTAAGGGCCAGGAGTGAGGCTTAGACCTGATAAAGAGGGATAATATGCCCGATCTTTGCATGACAACTTGGAAGAGAAGAAACATTGTTTTAGTCTTTCAACAGGAGTGTCCTTTCCTCTTACTAAGAGGCACATGCTTATCATGCACAACTTCCACTAAGTGGATTATCTAAACCACATCTTGCTATCAGGTCTTTGGACTTTCAGCATTTAGGATTTGTTCCGCAGAATCACATCACCCCTCCTCAAAATTAACATAAATCTTACAGCCAGCCGGCAAAACAAACAGGAAACCTCCTTTATCAGATCTCCCCAGGGAGGATTCCACACAAACTATACTACTCTCCTCCCTTCAGCTCCGTAAGTAATATCATTAAGGGTTGATCGTTAAAATAGTTTTTGCCTTTAACAGCATCAATGCAATGTCAATCTAGTGTAATAGAAACTGTGCTTTAACAAACTAATTGAGCCACATTCTTATCAGATGAGAAGCTATTAGGATTGAGAGCAGATGAGAATAGTGGCTCTAATATTTGTGTTATTTTCCAAAATATATTTTGACAATCACACAAATAATGTGTGTCAGTGGGAATATCCCTGAGGTGGTTTTGGCCACATCTTTGATTTCAGTGATCCACATTTCAATCAGGTTTCAGCTTGTCTTTTGTTTCCTGTAGGCTCTATACTAGAAGCTGTTAAACTAGGGGTTTTGTTGTAAAGAGAAGTTGAAGTGTAAGATGCCAGTAGAAACAGAAGATTTTGTGATATTGTTGCAAGGTTGCTTGACTGTCATTACAAAGTCCATTGAATATTTGTGGTGATCAGAAGAGGAAGCTCTAGTTGTTGGGGATGCTCTGCAGATATGTGAGGATGTGCTGGATCTTCACAAGGCGTTTTTTGAGGCTGGTCATGGAGAGGACAGAGAGCTGGTAGCGGGGGTCGATGGGCAGAACAGCCAACAGCCACCAGCAGCAGGCCGGACCATTGGGAGTCGCCTGGAAGAGAGGAGGAGAGGAATTAGACATGAGAGTGTTACAGAAACTACACAATCGTTAATAAGAGCTACGTTCACAGTCGTATGGTGCTAGATTCTTGTGCATAAAATAAAAGCTATAAATATCATCAGGCCTTTCTCACTGGCACTCATTTGGCATGTAAGTGAAGCACTCACTTTGTATTGATTAAGGATTGCGTATATACTAAGCTACACACTGCCAGAGGAATGCATGTCTGCGGCACAATTACATGGCTGAAATCAATCCCAGGGCACCACAGCCAGATACTAAATGTGCTTTACACTTCAAAGGGTTTGAAGTGACTTTGTCTGTGCCCCAATTTCCATTGGCCATTAGGCAAGATACTGTAATCATTTTTAGAATCACATAACTCAAAAAATCGAGTGTTCAGTGTTGGAGAATCTCTTTATGACTGATCTGATGCAAGAAAGCTGCTGGGATTATGTATGAAGCACCCATAAAGCTCTTTAGGCCGTATTGTCAATGAACTCCGCCCTTTGGTGCTGCAAAGAGCGGAGCTGTAATCCCTGTCGGCGCTGCAGCCTACGAGCGGGAGCTCAGCGAACACAACAACTTTGTTCCGGTATTAAAGCCTCTGAGCCAGGTGAATCCGTAGTAATGTGGGTTTCCCCAAAATGCAATTGTGTCATGAGACAATCTAATTTTAGAATCCGTGAAGTCTCTCTGTGTCAGACGAGGTAATGAAAGCTGTACAAACCCTGCAGTATTTCGAAGAAAAGGACTTCTCAAGGCCAGCTGATACCAGTTCCTAGAATAATAATAATATAACAATATGTCTTCTATCAACCTTTGCGCGCTATATTTTCTCAGTTTATCTGGCTGTGTAAAAAGTTGGGATTTAATGTTCTTAACAGTCCGCACGAACGTCTGCTTTGCTGCCACAGGCTGCCAACTCACTGCAGAGCATTCTCACTTTCTCATCTGGTGGACGCTTTATTAAACAACACATATTGTTGTTCCCATGTGTTCATATTCTGGTGAGCCCACGCCGCATGAGATGTTTAATTTAGTACAAGATATCATTTTTACAAGTTAACTAGTTTTTCTTTATATTGCTCTTTTTTACAAGGTCGATCCAATCCCTCATTTTAAACCTCCAATATTCCAGGAAAGTGCAAATGTGCGTAATAACACAGTTAAGTAAACCACTCTGCTAAAGAAGATTAACTCTGTATTGCTTAAAGAAGCTTGAAGTGGGAATAATTTTCTAGGAATAATATGAAGGGAAACAGGCACATCTCTGTAGATGGAAGTGGGGTGCTGGATGTTTACCTGGATGTCAGCTTCTCGCTCTGGCATGGGTCCAAAGTGCTGCAGGATCTGGTCGTGGAAGTGGACCTTGAGGTTTTGGAACCAGTCGCGGGCCTGCTCATACACGGCATCGTGAAGCTCTTGGAGTTTCACAAGCTCCCCGCTGTCCTCCACCTGACGGACAGGAATCATTTGACCTCTTAGTCACTTTTGGATTGTTTAAACTTAACAAATAACCTAAAGAAATACCCCACTCAAAATAAACCCTGGTAAATAAAAATGTAAAACGGATTTTTGAAGACCAGGATTTTATATACTGAACATATTATCCTTAAAAAAGAGTTGTCGTGGTTTTTACCCTGGTGTCGCCCAGATGCTCGATGTTCGCAGTGCTGTAACCATCCATCATCCCTCGTGTCAGGACCCGGAAGCGTTTCCCTCCGATGGTGTCCACTACTGACCGTCCGTCAGGCAGGAAATGGACACTCCTGATGGTCAGCATGCAGCCATGGTCTACAAACCTGCAGGGGAGCACCATTTAGTTTATTGGTATAGACACATTTTTCCATTCCATATGTCTGGTTTGAGGGTCGCTCCATGTTGTAATTCATACAAATGCACTTACCCTTTCTGGGGATCATTAATACACATCCCAAACTTCCGCGTGCCCGTGTCCATGCAGCGGCGGAGCATGAGGCGGTAACGCGGCTCGAAGACATGCAGTGGGCAAGGCACGGTGGGGTAAGCCATGGTACACACAAAGATAGGCACATTCTTCGTCAGACTGCACAGAGGGCGAGAAGGAGAAACATGTTTAGAGCTTCTGACACATTTAAAATAACTGATCATGATTGTTGGAATAAACCCAGACGAGAGGGGGAAATGCTTACTCAGAAAGTTCTCTGGTCTCCTCCAGATATGTTTTAGTCCTCTCTTCATACTCCTTACTCAAATACTGTTTGATCAGCTTCTCCAAGACAGTTGTCACCATGTACTTTCTACATGCTAGATACTGAAGAGAGCAAGGTAAGAGTTCAGGGTTAAAACAGGAAGCGAGGACCGACATTTTACTTAGTGCAAAAAGTAGAATGTCCAGACTCTATACGTTGTCTCACCTCTTTCAGGCTCTCTTTACAGAGGGGACACTGGGGCGTATGGTCCAAGCAGCGCTCCAAACAGTTTTTACAGAAGGTGTGGCCACATGGAGTCGTCACAGGCTCGTAGAACAACCTGCATTCAACGTCCAACAGTCAGTTTTACATTCTCAGTCATTTAAAAAAGGCACAATGTGTAAACATCAAGGTAAATGTGTGTGTTCGGCCCACCCGTGTGTGATCTTACCTCATGCAGAGAGAGCACTCCC